ATCATCATCATCATCATCATCATCATCATCATCATCATCATCATCATCATCCCCCCGCCCTTGTTTGTGGCTTGTTCTCGGGGGCGTTGGTGGGCTCCTCGCTTTGCGTGCTGCTTCGCTGTCTCTGCCCGCTTGGCTGGCTCCCTCCCTGTTCTCCCTCTGGCGCTGCCGGTGGGCCGTGGCATGTTTGTTTCCTACTGCCCTCCAGGTGCTAACCTTTTTGATGTGAGGATCCATACGTGGGCATCGCGCCCATCCGCCTGCCCCTCATGGGATTATTTGCCCTGGAGGTTGCAGGTCAGGGCCAGTGCCTGCCGTGCGGGATCATGCAGCACGCCGCAAGGCGCATGAGACAATCGTGGGTGGCTGCCCCCCCCCCCCTCAGAGTCCGAAGTGGCTCTCCGAGGTTTAGATGCGTAGCCGAGGCCGCTTGGAGACTCCGCGAGATTTGCTTGCTTGCTTGCTTGCTTGCTTGCTCCTCCTCCTCCTCCGTCTCCCGCTGCTGCTGCTGCTGCTGCTGCTTCTGCTGCTGCTGCTCCTCCTCCTCCTCCTCCTCCTCCTCCTCCTCCTCCTCCTCCTCTCCCTCCTCCTCCTCCATCTCCTGCTCCTGCTACTTCTCCTCCTCCTCCGTCTCCTCCTCCTCGTTCTCTTCCTCCTCCTCCTCCTACGCCTCTTCCTCATCCTGCTCCTCCTCCTTCTCCTCTTCGTCATCCTCCTCCTCCTCCTCTTCCTCCTCCTCCTCCGTGTACTGCTCCTCCTCCCCCTCCTCCTCCTCCTCCTCATCCTGCGCCTCCTCCTCCTCCTCCTCCTCTTCCTCCTCCTCCTCCTCCATTGGACGTCGTCCTGGGACTCACTCACTCACTCACTCACTCACTCACTCACTCACTCACTCACTCACTCACTCACTCACTCACTCACTCCTCCTCCTCCTCCGTCTCCTGCTCCTCCTCGTCCTCCTCCTTCTCCTCCTCCTCCTCCTCCTGAGCCTTCTCCTCCTACGAAAGCAATCAATGCATCTTTACGTGATTTCAAGCATTGGGTTATGGACAATGGGAATACTGGTCAGCTTTTTCGTTCCACCAAGCCTGCCATCAAGTCAAGTTCTGAGTTGGACGATGCCAAAGCTGGTGTTATTTTCCATCCGAAGGACGTTGTCGACAAAAAGACTTTACATTGGCACGAGCTTTAGAGGACGACAAAGCACATCGATGTTGAACAAGTACGGGCGCTTTTTTCGCGCATCAGGCAGCAGGCCAAGGACGAGGCGTTCTTACCATTGACGGCTGAGGATGTGCGACGTGCCATTCGCAGCAGGAAAGGTCAAGTTGGTCAGAGTCTCGATCGAGTTTGCCCTGCTGATCAGGATCGTTTACCGCACGAAGCCATGGTTGAGCTCTCGGCTGTTTACAATACCATCGAGCAGTGTGGCACCTGGCCATGGCAACTTTTAGCTGTGTTGGGCAGGCTTCTTCTAAAAAAATCAACTGGCGACAGAGTTATCGGTTTAGTATGTGTTCTTTGTCGTGTTTGGTCAGCAGCCAGAGAGCCTTACCCCAAGGAGTGGAATACACCGAGCCAGACAGACTGGGACGCAGCGTGTGCTGGGAACTCCGCCCTCAAAGAAGCATCTATGAGAGCAATGGACGAATAATTATTCTTTCGGCTTCGCTCGTCCCAGGGCCATGCTTTATTAGACATCAAGACTTTCTATGACGAAATTGAATGGAGTATTTTGGTTGATCGAGCCTTAGAGTGCAATTTCCCAGCCACCACTTTGCGTTTGGAGTTGCAAGTGTGTGCTGGCCCACGGCTGCTGGCACAAGCTAACACGGTTTCGGCACCGTTCCAGGCTACGCGATCCATCATTCAAGGATTGCGTAGTGGGACACGTTTCGCCAAGTGCATGACTAACGCCGTCATGACCAAGCTGACCACATGCCACCCCTACCTCTCCGAACGCCTCTGGGTGGACGACCTATCGCAGGTCGCCATCGGTTCGCGGCGGCACGTTGCTGAAGTGCTGGAGGAGGGGGTGGTGGCCACTCAGGTCCAGCTTGAGCGACAGGCGCTACGGTTGCCCCCCAAGAGTATCATCACGTGCACGAATGTGGAGGACGCTAAGGCCATAGTCAAGCGCCTACGACGGCGAGGTGTTGATGTACAATGGGGACGACAAACGACGTACCTCGGTGTTGATCTGGGCAACGGCAAACGTCCGGCTCGGCAGACACGGAGTACAAGGATGAAGAATTCCAAGGTTCAGCATCGCAATATCAAACGCTACGCGAAGGCATCCAGGAGATTCCGTATTCTTAAGAAAATCGAGTTGGGTGGACCCCAGATGGCCGCCCACTATGGGCACCAGGTCCATGGGCTCCCCACGTCCTCGGTTTTGGAACTTCGTCGGCGTCTTGGGGCTGTTGCTGGAGGGCACAAGCACGGTCGCGACCTCACGATGCTGCTCGACCTCAGAACTCCCATGAAGGACCCTGGGTACCAGCTCCCCAGGCAGTTTCTGGAACAGTGGCTTCGCGCGTGGATTGAGGAGCCACGTATTCATGCCCCAGTTGCGCGAGTTCGGCAAGGCATCGTTGATCATTTAAAAGGCACCGAACCACAGCATCGAGCAAGGCATGTTCGGGGCCCTGTTTCTGGTCTCGTACATTATCTTATGCAAGCAGGGTGGGACCCACATGGTCCATCAGAGTGGTATCTTCCAGCAGATCGAGCAGACCCAGCAGGCGTCATCCCAGGATGGAAGTTCGACGCCAGCCAGCTCGAGTCAGTCGTGGAGGCCACCGACCTGCTCAATCATTTTTCAGATACGTTCAGACGCCAACTCTGGTCCGAGGCCGCCCGCACGTTCTGCGGAGGTGGAATTGAGGGCGGCTTGGACAACTACAGTTTGAGGAAGCAGCTGACCCAACTTGAGGCCCTCCCTCAAGGACGACGGTTGGCTGAGATGCTCCTGGTCATCGCTGTCGGTGGTACCTGGACGGAGTCACGGCGCAAGGAGGGAGGATATGCATGTTCGGGCCTGTGTGAGAGATGTCCAGATCAGGTTGAGGAGACCCCCTTACATCGATACTGGCAGTGCTCACGCAATGAAGGCTCACCCATTTTCGACATGACGCAAGACCTGAGCCACCGTGCAGTGACTCAGGCCAATTTAGCATACTGTTTTTGGTTCCGTGAGCTGATACCCGCGGAATGGACACGAGTTGATGAGCCGACACATGTGGAGAGATGGAAAGGCTTGGGACAAGACCAAGCTGACACGTTCTCTTTCGGCTCTGGGACAATGGACAATCCATTAGTTCTGTTTGGTGATGCATCTGGAGGCGCAGACACACACGATCCACGACTTCGTCGAGTTGGGTTGGCTGCTGGAGCGTTCTCATTAGATGCGAATGATGAGCTTCCATACTTGTTGGGCCCTCTTCCTGGTGACCGACAGACGGTTGCGCGAGGGGAGCTGTATATGTTGGAAGTCTCTATCCGTTGGTCCTCGGGACCAACAATTTCTGCGACGGACAACGAGGAGGTGTGCCGGGTGTGGTGGGCGCGAGCTTATGAAAAACCTGTTGGCGCCAATGCCGACATCTGGAGGGCTATTAAGAAGCATCTTGTTCAAAGGCCTTGCAGTGAGATAGTTGTCTTGAAAGTTCCCTCGCATGTGGAGGCCCAGTGTATCGTCGAGCTCGGGGTCCCGTCCTGGATGATTGCTGGCAATGTGTGTGTGGACACCTTGGCTGGTATCGCTGCCGCCGAGGCCCGCCTCCCTGAGTGTCAGAGGGCACAGGTGCTGCGGGTTGAGAACGATGCTCGGCTTGTTCGCATGCGTTTGTTGCGAATTGCCCTTCAGTCTGCTATAGGCACGGCCAAGAGGGCGCGCCCAAAGGCTCCTGCCATTCCGCCACCCCGACCTCGGGGTCGGGTTCTCCTGTGTTCGTCGCATCAGGTAGATAGCACTGGAAACAAATGCCAGATTTGCAAGGGTTCCGCCACTGAGGCCACTTTAAGGTCCTGGTTGGCCACTCCCTGGTTCCCTTTAGAAGTAACGACAGATAAGATCTCTAATTTGCCTGCTGGTCGGACTTTATATCTCGCTGGGGGTACGGTCCATGGTTCCCACAAGATGAGATATCATCATTCCCAGTCTCTTTGGTTTTGTGGCAGCTGTGGGACCACAGGCCAAGCTCGGTTGAGCAAGAAGTTGGCTGGCCCATGTCAGCTCATCACATCCACTGGCAAGGAGTATCTCCGTCGTTTAGAGAGAGATCTTGCGCCTAAAGTGCTCAGCGAAGCTGAGCGTGCGGCCAGGGCCTAATTTATATAGACTCGCTTCGCGACCGCTCTCATCTCATCTCACCTCCTTCTCCTCCTCCTCCTCCTCCTCCTCCTCCTCCTCCTCCTCCGTCTCCTCCTCCTCCTCCTCCTCCTCCCTCCTCCTCCGCCTCCTCCTCCTCCTCCTCCTCCTCTCCTCCTCCTCCTCCCTCCTCCTCCTCCTCCTCCTCCTCCGCCTCCTCCTCCTCCTCCTCCTCCTCCTCCTCCTCCTCCCTCCTCCTCCTCTCCTCCTCCGCCTCCTCCTCCTCCTCCTCCTCTCCTCCTCCTCCCTCCTCCTCCTCCTCCTGCTCCTGCTCCGCTCCTGCTCCTGCTCTTCCTGCCTCCTCCTCCTCCTCCTCCCTCCTCCTCACCTCATCTCCTCCTCCTCCTCCTTCATCATCATCATCTCATCATCATCATCTCATCATCTCATCATCATCATCATCATCATCATCATCATCATCATCAGCATCATCATCATCATCATCATCGTCATCATCATCATCATCATCATCATCATCAGCATCATCATCATCCTTCTCGTCCGCCTCCTCCGTCTCGTCCTCCTCCTCCTGCCTGCAGGTCCTTTCATTTCCCCCCTCCTCCCACTGCCCTCCTCTCACTGCCCTTCTCCTCGTTGCCCCCTCTCCTTGGAGAGCTCCTGGATCTCCGAGGTCCGGAGGTCGGCGGCCAGCACCGCTGCGTGCGCCCCGCGGCCGCGGCCCCCTGGCACGAGGAGGGCGCCTGCTGCTGCTGATCGCCCTCGGTCCCCATCGCCCTTCACGTCGTCGTCCTCCTGATCCTGCTGCTCCTCCTCCTCCTCCTCCTCCTCCTCCTCCTCCTCTTCCCTCTCTTCTTCGTCCTCCTATTAGTCCTCCTCCTCCTCCTCCTCGTCCTCCTCCACCTTCTCTTCACTCTCCTCTTCTTCCTCCTCTTCGTCCTCCTCCTCCTCTTCGTTCATTTTTTGTCCTCCGCCGCCCCAGGCAGGCCGAGGGGGTCATACGACACTCGGTGGCCCTGCATACATATGAAAGCCGCAGGGATATAGCCCACCCAGCGGTAGCCGCTGCTGCCGCCATTTGGGGGCCATCTCCGAAGCACCTATACCTTGATTGCCACCTCCGCCTCCTCCTCCTCCTCCTCCTCCTCCTCCTCCTCCTCCATCTCAGTCTCTCCTCATCCTCCCCTCCTCCTCCTCCTCTCTCCTCCTCCTCCTCCTCCTCCTCCTCCTCCTCCTCCCTCCTCCTCCTCCTCCTCCTCCTCCCTCCTCCTCCTCCTCCTCCTCCTCCTCTTCCTCATGCCGAAGGCTAGCCGCAGCCCTTGGGGTGACACTTGTGCGGGACGTATGGGGCTCCGGTAAGGGATTGCGCAAGGCGCACTCCCGACGAGCACCCGCACCAGCACCTCCAGGCTTAGGTGGCCAAGGCGACTCCGGCCATCCCTCCTTGCATCTTGCTCCCTCTGTCGTTGCTGATCCTGCTTTCCACGCAGGCTCCCAGCTTTCTCGATCGATCCAGCACATCCGGATGACCCCATAAGATCGCGCGCGCGCGGTAAGGCGCACGCGCGGCAACGACCGCCGCCCCAACCCCTCGTTCGCGCACCGAGGCGCGCAAGAGACGCAGACCTGGCCCGCCCCCCGAAATGACACAGCTGGTGCTACCCATGAGCAGCTGTCCCTGCCACGCGCAGGAACACCACGGCAGCATCTCGCATACCTTCGCTCCCGCTTGTCCCTTCGGCGCTTCTCGCTCGCTCCCTCTGTCTCTGCCTCTCCTTCTCTCCCGGAGCTGCTGCCGCTTTCTCTTTCGCTGTTGTCCGCTCCCGCTGCTGCCGCTGGCTCTTCTTCGGCCAGTTTCCGCATCCTCCCACCCCTGCCCCAGTGCTTGCCCATCCTTTGTGCCTGCCAGCGGTGAACGGCCATGTTGGCCAGTGGGGGGCATGCCCTTCAGCACACAGCGCACGGGCCCCCCCCTGGCTAGATTTGGGCGTGCCGGCCCCTCCGCTAGCGTTTTAGAGACTTCCGCCCCGTTCGTGGAGTCTAAATTGTGTAAACAGCTTCCTGCCCATGAGCAGGCCAGCCCATGTAAAAATATTAGTAGGTCAGCTCCGGGGCATTGCCCTTGCATCCTTGGTTTACCTGACCGGGTTCTGCACTGGCGGTTCCGCCAACTGGCCTGCAGCGAGGAGGCCGACCAGGATGCCCGGGCAATAATTGTCACAGGTGGCCTCCCCGAACAGCGGGTCACGGGTGTCTGCGTGGCGCACCGACTCCGTGACATTCGTAAACCGGTGGGTGAAGCGCCCTGGATCGCCCTGGTGGAGTCGTCTTTTCTTCTTTACGGCCTAAGATGTTTGGGTACAGGCGCCCCTCTTCCAGGTCCCTTCTGCGGCGGCAGGGCGCGTCGCCGGCTCTCAGGCCGTCCGGGGCCTGGTGGCACTGACTTGCCTGGGCCCTCTCGGTGCCGTCGCGCGGCTCCCGTGGTGCCTTGTCTGGGTTTCCCCGGGCCTCCCTGGGCGCCTTGGGGGGCTCCAAGGGGTCCCCAAGGGTCTGGACGCCCGAAATGGGTACGGTGCCCAACAGCAGTTCCTGTTCATTTTGAACAGGATTCGCTGTCCGCGCCGCCGCGGCCTGTGTCCATTCGAGACAGACGGCCGCCTGCCCAACAGCGGCCGCTGTTGGTTTGGGACAACAGTTGTTGTTGGGCACAGTACCCATTTTTGTCCGTGCCCATTTCGGGCGTCAAAAAAGGAGGCGCCTGAGGGTTCCGTGAAGGCCCTTGGAGGGCCGCGGGGATTAGGCACTCACGTGGGGTCTGATGGCACCTAATTGCCTGGGCCCTCTTGGCGCCGTCTTGCAGTCCTCTTGGTGCCTTGTTTGGGTTTCCAAGGGCTTCTTGGGCGCCCAGGGAAGCCCCGAGGGGGCCCCCGGGAGCTCCGAGAGGGCCTGGGGTGGGCCGCGGGAGTTAGGTACCAACCGGGTACCCGCTGGTATTTCATTGCTGGGGCCGTCCTGGGGCCGTCTTGGGTCCCTTTTGGAGCCCTCGGGGGGCCACCCTGGAGCGACGAGCGGCCTTGGGGTGACTTCGACCCCGCCGGCTCTCAGGCCGTCCGGGGTCTGCCGGGCTCTGCGCTTCGGTGGCAGAGGGTGCTGCTTTTCGCTTCGCGAAGAATGCTGTCTGAAAGTGCGCGACAGGAGCGCCCCTTTCCCACCCTCGCACTTTGCTCGTGTCTTTCCCCCTGATCTTCGCTACGAGTCCGCCCCCAAGTGACAAGGCCACGGTCCGAATGGGTCGGGAAGGGCGCGGGGGAGGAATGTGAGCAAGAGAGCACTGCTTCTTCTCACCACAAGAGACCCTTCGAGCCAGAGGCCAGCCTGGGATAACTCCAGGGGTGCCAGTGGGCCTCGTTGGGGCGTCACGCTCCCTGGGCTTCTGCCCGCCCCTGTCCCTCCGTCCGTTGACTGCCGTGCTTTACCCGCTTGGCCCTGTCGGCCTCCTTGCCCCTCCCCGATTTTCGTCCTGCCAATTGCCGCTCCTTCCCCACGCATTGGTCGAACCCGGCGAGGCCGGGCGCGAGAAGGCGGGGCTTGAGGGTTGGGGTAGGATCTTAGGTTATGACACGACGAGCTCGATCCTGGAGGCTGAACGGCAACGCCGCCACCAGGCTCGGGGACCAACCCATACCAGTAATCATTGGTGCCAGGACCCCCTCCTCCCAGTTGAGCTCGCGTTTGAGATCGACGTCTTCACGGATAGGTCCTGCTTCAAGGATGTTCCCCCCCGTTCCATCTGGCTGGATGGGCAGTTATCAAGTTAACCCCAGCGGAGGAGCTGCCATGGCTGCCATGATGGGATTAGCCTTGACTTGCCGCCTGATCACATGAGTTGGGACATTTTGCCGAGGCTGCGCCCCGTTGATCTGCAAGCCGTAGCGCTTACCCTTCTTTGGAAGACTCCGGTAGGCCTTAATTGCCTGCGTCCGAGAGCGTTTTGGTATCTGTCAATGCACGGGCCCATAGCTCTTTGTGCTATGTTTGCTGCTTGCGAGGACACGCTGATTTGGCCGCTCCAGCGAATGGTCACAGAGATGGTTCGACTAGCTAAAGCTGGTGGATGCACGAGATTGATCACTTTAGTCGAGAGTCGAGTAAGTCTACGGTCTGGAGCCAGGCGGTCCATCTCACGCGCGTGGATCAGTTCTCATGGGAGTCGTCACATCTGGGTCGATCGTAGAGGCGAGTCATCGAATTTTCCAGCTAGCGAGCACAATCTCTACAGGCTGAGAATGCTCAGCGGCTAGGGGAATGCTCTATCACAGTTTTCCTGGACATGTGGAAATGTGTCGAAACGGCGATGTTCTCGGCCCAGGTTTCGGAAGCGCAGGAGACGAAGTTTCCCATGTGGTCCCCGTGGATGCTCCTTTATTCGTGCTCTCAACCTAGAACTGTTCGAGCTTTTGGTTGTTGGAGCAAGGAGTTCAAATCGCTCCAGCCATCACCACCGTCAGGGCAACCCACGAGGTCGCCCAGGTCAGCCACAACGTAAACCTCAGGACATTCGCAGATGATTCGACCATGCAGTGGGCCGGGCCAAGAGGGGGCTCAGCGTTGGAGTTCTTCAAGGGGGCCCAGAGCTTCGTCAAGTATGCTGCTAGGCTGGGGCTCCTGTGGCAGGTGAAGAAGTCCGGGTGGGTCGCTGCGGTTGCTTCTATTAGGCGCGGTTCTGGAAGGCTCGTTCAGAACATCCGCTTGAAGGTCACGTCTTGGGCACGGAACCCGGGTCGCGCGCTGAGCGGGCCGAAGCCTATCAGAAAGCAAGCTAAGGCCAGGTTGAAACAGCCAGGGGAAAGGCTTCCCAGATTTAACATGCTGCGATGTGGTGCCTCTCATCGTGTCACAGCGTTAAGGGAACAGGGGCGATGCCAGCAGCGTCTCATGGGGCCGCAGTTGCAGGCGTCAGCGATCAGGAACTGACCAAGCTCGGGCAGACTGCTAAGTTGGCTGTTCGTACCATCAAGTCTTCGTCCATGACGCTGGTCCTTGCCAGCCAGGCCGACGCCATGTACGACCCGATTCACGATGTCACGCTGGCACCCCTCGGGGCATATGCTTCGTTCATGTGGGACCAAAGGATCAGTCTTGGGGGGTTCCAAAGGGCACGGCATAGGGCGCGAGATATTTATACTGTTCGGTCTACGTGGGCTGCTGTAAAGGGCCCCATTACTGTGCCCACGTCCCCGATGACATGGGTAGGCTGGGACATGTGCTCCAGCACGGTGCTCACCAGTGACCTTTGGCCCCATTTTGATATCAGGCGTCCCCCTCCGCGATCGGTCGTGGAGCTGGTGCAACAGGTCATTGGGCGCTGGAAAGCAGTTCAGATTCTCGAACATCACATGGGTGTCTGTGTTCGATGGGAGATCACATGGACGAGGGCGCTAATGACATGCGTTGCATGGGGAAGGCGGCCAAACATCGTAGATTCGCTGGCTCACTTCGCTCTACCTGGTCAGGCGCGCTATGGTTTTGTGACCGTCTTGCGCGTGCTGGCTATCGTCAGAGTGAGGGGGCCGAACGGTCATTCACTGTCCCTGGGTGCGTGGCTGATGTGGAATTCCGCGGTGCGGATTCTTGTTGTTGCTGTTGTTGTTTGTTGTTGTTGTTGTTTGTTGTCGTCGTCCCACCCGCAACCCGCCCCGCGACCCACCCGCGACCCACCCCGCGACCCACCCCGCGATCCACCCGCGACCCACCCGCGACCCACCCGCGACCCACCCCGCGACCCACCCCGCGACCCACCCCGCGACCCACCCCGCGACCCAACCCGCGACCCACCCCGCAACCCCCCCGCGGCCCACCCCGCGACCCACCCGCGACCCACCCGCGACCCACCCGCGACCCACCCGCGACCCACCCGCGACCTACCCCGCGACCCACCCGCGACCCACCTTCGACCCAAACCACTTTCAAGGTACAAACCACAATTTTCGGCGCCTGCGGCGGGCTTTTTTGCATTCCTTCCAAGTGGAGAGCCCGCGACACATCCCGTGACCAACTCGCGACCAACCCGCGACCCAAACCACGTTCAGGGTACAAACCACATTTTTCGGCGCCTGCGGCGGGCATATTTTGCATTCGTTTCAGGTGGAGAGCCCGCGGCCCACCCGCGACCACGTTCAGGGTACAAACCACATTTTCGGCGCCTGCGGCGGGCATCCTTTGCATTCGTTCCCTGTGGAGAACCCGCGGCCCACCCGCGACCCAAACCTCGTTCCGTGTACGAACCAATTTTTCTGGCGCTTGCGGCGGGCTGCTTTTGCATTCCTTCCAGGTGGAGGTGGAGAGCCCGCGACCCACCCGCGACCTAAACCACGTTCACTGAACAAACCAATGCCGCACAAACGCGGCGGCGGATTCTTGCATGCCGTCTGAGCCCGCAAGGACCTCTTCACGCCCCGCACATCCACGCCAGCCCGTCCAGCAACTTTGCCCTGGCGAGTTGCCTTGATCAGAGAAGGCGGGGAGCATAAAGTGGAAAAAAGGATTGCGTTGCAGTTATCTTGGGAAAGGAGGGGGAGGCAGGATGAGTAAACAGGGGACGAGGAGAACGAGGAAGAAGAGAGGATGTAAGGAGAACGTGGAGAAAGAAAAGGAGGAGGAGCAGGAGGACGAGGGGGAGGAGGGGGAGGAGGGGGAGAAGGAGGACGAGGAGGGGGAGGAGGGGGAGGATGATGATGATGGACGACAATGGGAGGACGATGATGGAGGCCGATGAGGGGGAGGACGACAATGGGAGGACCATGATGAAAAGACGAGGGGGGGAGAGGGAGGACGAGGAAGAAGAGGAGGAGGAGGAGGAGGACGAGGTGGAGGAGGAGGATGACGATGACGATGAGGACGAGGAAGAGGAGGAGGAGAAGGAGGAGGAAGAGGAGGAGGAGGAGGAGGAGGAGGAGGTGGAGGAGAGCGCCATCGACAAGGAAGGTGGGGGCCACGAGGTCCGCCGGCTCGACGACGCCCGCGTCGCCCGCGCCCGCCCCCTCACTCTTATCCGCAATTGCGGGGTGCTACGTATTTTCGCGTCACGTTGTTGGTGCTCGGCCCAGCAGGCCACCGTTGGGCATGAACTCTATGAGCGCCCTGGCTTTTCCCCAATGATGTCTATGATGATCCTGAGCTTGATTGGGACCCAGGTTTGGATTGTGCGATCTTATCTCACTGGCAAAGGCCAGGCAGGTGCAGTCCAGCAGGACTACGACGACTTTGAGATCTCGGTTGGGATGCCCATTCGTATCCTTGTGGCTTCTTATGTTGCAGATAAGCTGCATGTGGAATTCTGGGGAGATTGGGAGTCTGATAAGAGCTCTTTAAGTAGCGCGTGCTATACCGACGGCTCTGGGATGGCCCCCAGTTGGCCAGAGCCACGTAGATGTGGGTGGTCTGCGGTGCAGCCGGGGACAATGGCATGCCTGTCAGGGCTATCCATGGGGCCGATCCAGGCAGTCGGGAGAGCTGAGATATCTGTTGTTTTTCAAGCGCTGCGCCATGCTCCTAAGCTGTCCGTTCTTGTGTCCGACTTGCTTGGGCTAGCGCAGGAAGGAGAGCGCTGGTCTCACGAGCAGGCGGGCGCACAGGCGACCTACGCCGACATCTGGCGCTCCATGCTGGCAGTGTTGCCCGATGGAATCGGTCGCCCGATGTTTTAGTGTCCTGAGCACATCTCGCCAGAACAGTATGTCGAGAACGCGGCCAAGGAAAATATCCCGTGGGAGCTGGTGCACGGAAATAGGTGGGCTGACCCATCCGCCAAGGGCGAAGCCCTGATCCATGCGCAGCCCAACACCATTTTCAAGGTGGTTGAGGCCAGTCTTCAGGGCTATCGTATGCAGGCGCGGTTATTCGATTGGGCTGCGGCTACAGTGGCTGCGCGTGATGCAGGCAGCGGACGTCCCGAGCAGGTCCTGGGAAACTTGACTAGGGCGTTTCCCCGGTTGCCCGTACTCAGGCGAGTCTTGGGAGATTGTTAGGCGCCAAGTGTGGGCCGACGGCCCAAGAGAGGCTCAGGGCTAGGGCTGATGTGGAGCTCCAGAGGGCCGTTCCTATGAGATCTCAAGCCGCGCAGTTCGCCCTATAGGGGGCGGACGCTGATCACACACAGTCTGGTGCTCAGGCGAGTGCGGAGCCTGAGGAGCCGACGCCTGCTGATGAACAGATCGCTGAGTTCCTTGGGCGCCGAGCGCTGGTGCTCCCATGGGCCATGGCTTGCACCTTTTGCGGTTCCTACCAGGTTCCCAGTGGCAAGGTTACAAACTTTAGGCTGCAGATCAATTGCCTAGGTGCATCGGAGCTCGGGCAAGCCCGTCTGAAGCAGACGTGTGTCATTTCTGCTAAGCACCCCAAGACGGGCATGTCAATTAGACCCGCATAACTAATGTGTAGGCCGTGCTCCCGCCCCTCGGTTTCATGGCTCGGCCTAGCGCTGGTCCTCTTCCTCTTCCTCCTCCTCCTCCTCCTCCTCCTCCTCTCCTCTGGGTTGCGTTCGTAAGCTGACGCCGTTTTCGACTGTGTATTCGGGGTGGACAAGGTTGTTGCCTACCTCGAGCTCGACCCCGAGAAGCTTTATAGGCGCAGAGGACACGATTGGGCCCGTCGGACCGCTAAGCTTGGGGCTGGGCTCCAGCCTGATGCGTGCGAGGAAGAGCACCGACGCAAGTCGCTCCTAGCCGCGATGTCGAGAGCTGTGGTCAAGCTGTTGGCCAAGATGATGTGACTCTGGCCGCGAATGTGCCTGGACGTTGCCCAGCTCGTTCCGTAGCCGCGAGTGGCGGCCGGGTCCGCCCCCACTGCCCCACGAGTGGATGCTGGCCGGCAGGCCGCCTCGCACCGTTTGCCAGTTCCCGCTGTGGTTGCGAAGTTTTCGTTCGGCCACGAAGCCGCCGAGCGGCAGGCGCACCATCCACCTGAAGGTCCGCCCGCAAGACTGGGGTGACTTCGGTCACAGATGTATTGTGATGGACCGTAGCGGCGAATCTTTCGTGTGCATCTGTCGGCGGTGTGGCCTTTTGTTGACCTCTGGTGGGCGCCTAGCAAAGTTGGCCACGCTGTGCAAGTCGCTCGCGAATCGGCAGAAGAGCGAGAACTGGAAAAGGCTCGGCAAAGGCGCCCACCCAAGACGGACGGGGTCTCAGTCGAGCCTTTGTTCGTCCCATTCAGGTTGGGTCCTTCGCCGTGGATGCCCTAACACAAACAACAAATCCTCTTCCTCGTCCTACTCCTCCTCCTCATCCGTGTCCTCCTCGTCATTACTCGTTACATGTCCCGATGCACTCCGTCCTTTCCCCATCAACTTATCCACCCCTCGCTCATTTCACCGGCCGCCCGCGCAAGGAGGCCGTCCCCAGCCCGTGGCCGCAAGAGGCGCTCCATCGGCGGCACGTGAGAGTGACCTTTCGCCGGAGTGACCTTTGGTGTGGGCGCAGCGGGGTCCCCAGACGACTGAATGGCGATGCGATGGCAGCGTCTTGCGCACCTGGGTCTGGCCTCCCCACGGGCCCCCAAGGTCGCGCACCAAAGTCGGCCACGCGCAGAGGGGGATAAGGGGGGAGGGGGGAAGGTTTCGAAGAAGCACCCCTGCTTCTTAGAAGGCGCGGGCTTCGTCTGTAGATGTAAGGCCCGCGCCTTCCAAGAAGCAGCCTCCTTCTGAGAAGCCTTTCCCGCTCCCCCTGCCCTCTTGTGCGCGCCGCCAACAAAGGTCACTTTTGCCCAGGGTCACCTTTGCGCGTAGCCGATTACAGTTCCAGTTCCAGCCGGACTGGCACCAGCGCCGCGCGGCGCTCTGCGTCGACCGCGAGGAGTCCGTGCTGGTGGTGGCCCCCACGTCGGCGGGCAAGAGTGCGAGCGCCGAGTACGCCCTCTGGCGTTGCCTGGAGCGCGGGGGGCGCGCGGTGCTGGCGAGCCCCGTGAAGGCGGAGGGTCGTAAGATTGGAAATTGGCACCGACACCAACACAGGGGATTGCCTCCACCAGGGGAGGATGATCCCAGATTTTGGTGTTGGTGGTAATCCTTCGGCCACTCAGGAAGCCCGAGTATTACCACCGTCGCCGAGATCGGGATCGCCACTCCTCGGTGGAAGCACACCGCCGATATTGGTGTTCGTGTCAAACTGCAGGCCTCCGAGATGGAGGCGGGGGGGAGGTTTGGGAGTTTCGGGCGCCAGGTTTTCGAGGTTTTTGGGCGGGTTCGTCTGCCCTCGGCGGTGTTCCAGCCTCGGGATGCTCTCCAGCAGCTGCGCCTCGCCGAGTGTGCTTCTGGGGTGCCCAGATCGCCCAAAACGGCCACCGGAGGCTCGAGCTACGGCCCGAAAGCCACCAGCGGAGGGGGGAGCAGAAGGCGCTGTCGAACCAGAAGTTCATGGAGCTCACGAAGGTGTTCGGCGGACGCTGGGCAGGTTCGAAGAAGACAAAGCTGCGTCAGCATCGTCGTCTGGGGTTCAAGAAATCGGCGTTGACCCCCGAAAGTTTATGTTTACATGTTGTTGTCTTCTCCTCCTCGCTCCTTTGCACGCCAGACAATTTGCTTATCGCTGCCCCCTATTAGCCCCTCGCTGGTGCGGATCGTCTCTGCCTCGCCGCCGAAGAACAAAGCTGCTGCTGTCCTCTGCAGGCGACGTGCGGCTGGTGACAGGGGACCAGACCATCGGGCGCCCCGGCTCTCGCATCCTGGTGTGTACCACGGAGATCCTGCGCGCGATGCTCGTCCATGAGGATGCAGCCCTCGATGACCTCGGCGTCGTCGTCCTGGACGAGCTGCACTACCTGGGCGACACCGACCGTGGCCACACGTGGGAGGAGGTGGTCGTGCTGCTGCGCGGTCGCCGGGCCTCTCTGGTCGGTATGTCCGCGACGCTGCCCAACGTGCTCGAGGTGGCGGGCTGGCTGGCCCAGGTGCACCGCATTCGAAGAAGAATCAGTTGCATAAGCATGGAACTCGGCCGCACCGTGCTGATCTCTTGGATAGGCGCTGCCCCCCCCCCCCCCCCCCCCCCCACCCACCCCGCGGCGCCTCCAGCGCCACCCCTGGCGCGCTCCGCGCGCCAGGGAAGGGGGGTCAGGCGCCGACCTGAGAAGTCCGCGTGGATCGCCTACATTTTATGCGTATGCTGTTTTTTCTTCCTCCACACATGCCCGTCCACGCCATCTCCGTCGAGCAGCGCCCAGTGCCTCTGAGGCACTTGGCCATGCCGGGCCGCCTGGGGGCTGGCAGGAAGCCCGTGGAGTTCCTCAGCAAGGACGGGTTGTTCTCGGGCCAGGCGCTGCGGAGGGTGATGGAAAGGCTGCCGGAAGCGGGCACGGCAAAGAAGACGACCATCCGCCAAGAGCGGGTCCAGGTTCTGGAGAGGCTTGTCAGGCGGCTTCAGAAGTGGAAGGCCCTTCCGATCATAGTCTTCTGCTCCTCGCAGGACGACTGCATGTGGCTGGCAAAGGAGTTCGCCATGCGGGGCGAGCTCCGGCCCTGGCAGGGGCGGAAAGTGAGCACGCGACTGAAGTACGTGCGGGACTGCCTGCATGAGACGGACAGGGACCACCCCCAGGTCCGGCGGATCATGTCCTTCCTGAAGAAGGGCGTCGGGCTCCACCACGGAGGCCTCTTGCCAGTTCTCCGGGAGCTGCTCGAGCTCCTGTTCCGCGACGGCTGCGTGAACGTGCTCTTCGCGACCGAGAGTTTCGGCCTGGGCGTGAACATGCCGGCCCGATCGGTCGTCTTCAGCTTCAGTCCCAACAGCTGCTTCCGCAAGTTCAACGGCGAGGTGATGCGATGCCTGAGCTCCGCGGAGTACACCCAGATGTCTGGGCGAGCCGGGCGCCGAGGCGACGCGCGCGAGGGGCTGTCCATTCCCATACTCGACGCGCGCATGGAGGTCGAGGTCGTGAGGAAGATCGCGGGAGCGCCCCGGGCCCTCGACCCCGTGCAGAGCCACTTCCGGGTCGACGAGGCGGTGGCCTTGCGAGCCCTGCGCTGGGGGCGTGGCTTCCTCGACGACCTGCTCGCCAGCAGCCTGCTCCAGTTCCAGTCGTGCCGGCGCCACGGCGGCGGGGCGGCCGCCCCGGGCCCCGCCGAGGAGGCGGCGAGGGCGCAGGTGGACGCGCAGCTGCGGTCGCTCCGCGCGCTCGAGCTCTGCGACGAGGCGGGCGGGCGGACCCCCCTGCGGGGAGGCTCAGCGGAGGCCCAGGTGCCTGTGCCGCTACCCTCGCCTCGCTTTCGCCTTGGCGGGCCTCCTGGGAGGCCCCGTCGCCACCTGCTGGAGTTGCCTCGGAGCTCTCGCCAGATCGCACCCCGGGAGAGGTCTGGGGGGGTGGCGGTATCGGTGCTTTCTGCGGTTTCCCCAGAGGCGGGCGGACTGACCCCCCGCGGGGAAGCGTTCTCGAACCTGGACGCCAAGCGGCCGCTCTTCGTGGGGGCCCTGCTGGAGGACGCGCGCATCGGCGCGGCGTCGGCCCGCGGCCTGGCGGCGCTGCTGAGCTGCTTCGTGCACGACCCGGCGGGCCGGGAGCTGGACGTACCAGGGGAGTTCGAGGACCTCTTCGGATCCGCCGAGAGTGTGGTCCAGGGGGTGATCGACAAGTGCGCCTGCTGCGTGCCAGACCAGCGAGACGGGGCGGGGCCCTGGCTCCGCAGGCGGGCCGGCATGGCCGAGGCCGTGGCGCGCTGGTGCGGGGGCGCGAGCTTCGGGGAGTGCCTCGGCCACGTGCACAGCAGCGTCACCGAGGGCGCCGCGGTGATGACGCTGCGGCGCACCCACGCGCTCCTCCAGGACTGCTCCGCGGTGGCGGCGCAGCTGCATAACAAGGCCCTGGCTGCGAGCCTGCAGGAGGTGGCCCAGTCGGTGCGCAGGCCCGCGCTCCTGCCGTTCCTGCCCTCCCTGTACATCCACGAGGCCCTTGGGCCAGAGGCGACCAAGGAGGCCCTCCGCGACGAGGCCCGCGAGGAGGCCCTCCGCGACGAGGCCCTCGAGGCCCTCCGCGACGAGGCCTTGCCGCTGCGGAGCCTGTCGCGGTCCGCGCCCGCGCCGTGTCGCCACGGGCCAGGCTCGGCTACTTCGTAGGAGTGGCCCTTCCCCAGAGTGACCTTTTGGTGCTGGTCCACAGGGGTTCCCCCAGCAATGGCTTGACGAGGCTTGGGCTCTTGGGTTTGGCCCCCCTGTGGCCCTCCATAGCCGCGCACCCGAAGGTCGCTCTCGTCCACTTCCCAGGATCGCTCTTTCGTGCAGCCGACAGGCGACGAGATCTACATGGACCCCTGCGACATCGGCTTCTCCCACGACCGCATTGGCTCCCGCTTTCAGAACGGGGGCTGCCTGCGGCAGGCGCTCCACGACCTGCTGTCTGGGAGTCTCAGGAAGCGCAGCTTCCCCATGGTTCGGGTGAAATGGCACCGGGGACGCTTCTTCACGCTCGCGAACAGGCGGCTTGCCGTGTTTCGGCTGCTCAAGTTCTACCAGGCGCCAGACCGCTGCCACCTCGTGAAGGTCCGCGTCGCCTCCGACGAGGAGGCGGCCAAATGGGGCTGGGAGAAGAAGTTCAGCAGCGGCACCTATCGGGGCAGAATGGCGAGCACCTACGACACTGGGGAGCTCGTCGGGGAGACGCTGAAGCGCACCACCTTCCCTCTGGATCCGCCCGGGCCCGAGGCGCGCGCCGCACGGGCAGGCCAGGGGTTTTGGCAGCTGCTCGGCGGCCTGGAGCAGGCGGCCCTGGCCAGCGAAGGGCCGCCGGGTGCGGCAGCGGCAGGGCCCCGTGACGAGGCCTTGGCATCGCTCGGACGTGTTAGTTTTTTTGGGGGCGGCGGGGAGCATCGAGGAACATCCTGGATCATCTTGCAAAGGGAAACGCGCACGAAACCGACAAGTGCACTGGGAATGGACGCCCGAGCGATGCCAAGAGGCCGAGGCGGCGGAGGAGGCCAGGGCGAGATCCGCCTCGCCCATCTCATCTCGAGGAAGGAGGAAGCGGCACAGACATATTCAGGAGGGAAGAAACACACACACACACACACACACACACACACACACACACACACACACACACACACACACACACACACACACACACACACACACACACACACACACACACACACACACACACACACACACACACACACACACACACAGAGACACAATTAAGCGTCGATTCCCCAGAAAATATATGAAAATATGGGAAGTGGGGGGGAAGACAGAAACCCAGAACATATGGAAAACTATGGGGGATCTGTTTATTTGTGTGTATTTATTTGTGTGTCCTGGGGCCCCTTCAAATAGGCGCTGGCACACCCGTATTCGAAAACAGGCCCAATCCCGTTGAATTCCGCCTAATCCCTTGAAGTCCAGTTTGCTCCATCCAGGCCCATCTGGCGCACGGTTCCCGAAACCAGCATCAAGCGCCCTTCGCCGTCCCTGCACAGAGCTGCCAGGAGTTGCACCCGAAGGAGGGAGTCCAGCGCCGATCCAAGAAATCCGCGCGGACCTTCGAACGCTTATGCCTGTGCCGCTCTTCGTTCCTCCGCCATCGGAGACCGGGTCCGACTCCGACGCCGACGCGTACGGGCCCGCCTCGGACTGCAGCGGAGGGAGGAGGAGGAAGAGGAGGAGCGCCGGGCGGATCGAACAAGAAGAAACAACACCAACATGGACTGTCGGATTGGGGGGCGCCCGGATCCAGGTCCGCGGCATCCTCGCAAGTCCCCCGCTTAGGCTTGGGTCGGGCATGTCCTCCTACAGGCGGATTTTGGAGGACAAATTACAACAGTGTCACACATAGCCCAAAGAGCACGGAAAGTCGTCCCCATAATATTCTTTTTTACTGTTCTTGAGCACCCCTCCTGCAGAGGGCAATGCCCGACGTGAGCTCAGGCCCCCCCTGGCAAAAGAAGCCCCGCCAAGCGATGGGGAGGGTGGAGGCGAGCCTTTTGCAGGCCGGAAAGGGACCTGCCGAGGAAAGATCCCACCCCCAACAGGAGGGCCCATGGACAGGGGTACATACGCAGATGCCAGGGTGCCCCATGTTGTTTCATGTTGATGTTCGGCTCTCCTTCCCCCACACTCTCCCCCATGTTCTCCCATATTCTCTTGAGAATCAACGATTACTCGTGTCTGTGTCTGTGTGTGTTTTCCCCCTCCTGTCCTTTGTTGTCGGAACCGAGCATGCATGCTCGGAGATCCACGCGGAGACTTACTGGATCGGCCCTGGACCCCTCCTCCTCGGCGCGCGGAGCGCGCCGGGGGGGGGGCGGCGCCCGGGGGCGCCGATCCGGGGTGGCGTCCAGAGCGCCGATCCGAGAGGCGCGCGCGGAGCCCCGAGGGATGACGTTCTGTGCAGTTTTGTCCTCCCCGTGGCCGTGTTTTTTTATTGATTGTCTCTCCGATCGGCCCCCTCCTCCTCCTCCTCCTCCTCCTCCTCCTCCTCCTCCTCCTCCTCCTCCTTCTCCTCACCCTCCTCCTCCTCCTCCTTCTCCTCCTGCGCCGCGGGACCCCGCCCCCCCCCCCCTCCTTCCCTCGTGGGCCGGATATTGGCTGCTCTTGGCGGCTGCTTTTGGCGACTGATTGGGGCCCCATCTGCCCCAATCTGCTCGCGCGATTGTGAAAAGCAGATCCACTGAGCACCGGCCCAGACCCAGACCCCCCCCCTCCCCCACCCTTCGGCCACATGTCGAAGCCCTGACTTTACTTTTGACAGAGGAGAGGAACAAGACAACGCCTGCCTTCTGCAGGAGAGCAGAAGAAGCTGACTGCGTGGAAGACGGCGAAGGTGGCGTCTGCTTCCGCTCCAGGGAGCACCCAGGCATCGACGCGGCCCGCATCGTGGAGCACGTGTGCGGCACTGGCCTCCCCGACGACGGCTGGGGGCGCGCGCTCAGCCAGCCTGTCACCGCAGGGGACCTGCTGGGGCCCTGGCAAGACGAGGAGCTGCCCGCCGAGATCCCGCTCAAGTTTGACAGCGTCGAGAGGCTCGAAGCAGAACAACTGCATAAACGTAGAGTTTCGGAGCTCTCCCGCGGAGCTCCAGAAGTTTGCGGGCGTGCAGTTCTTCTTCCTTCCACAGGCACTGCGCCCACTTCGCGCTGCCCCTGCTGCAGGAGCGGGGAGAGCAGAGAGGTGCCGACACCGCCGCGCCCTGGACTCCTCCGGGGCTGCGCCCGAGCCTGTGGCCACAGGGGGAAGAGCACAGCCGGCGCACCGGATAGGAAAGTCTGCTCGCCGGCAGGTGCCCCGCGGAAGTATCTCGGTCCTCGGCGTCCCCCGACGAAGAACCACGTGCCCCCAGCCTCCTTGCAGCGAGTCCTCTTCACGCGTGTACCTGCTGTAGCGGTAGCGGTACGTGTCCCTCCTGGCCAGGACTCTGGTGCGAGCCCGGCCGTTGCGGCAAGGAGGACGGGGAGTCACGGTATCGGTACCTATTCCTCTGAAAAAGAGACCACGAGCTCCACCGGTGCGTTCTGGACAGGATTCTGAAGCGAGTCCAGCTGTGGCGACGAGGGGGGAGTGTAACGGTCGAGCCCCCCCAAACGTTGCGGTGACCATACCGTGTAGTGAGTCCGATGGGTTCGGGGTGGACGCACGGTTTTGGGACTTGAGTCGTTATCAGTGGAAGTCCTGGGCGATTGGGGCCTCTCAGGTCCCAGGATTTTGCAGTGACGGACCGTGCGGTCAGACCTCCTCGGGTTTCGAGGTCACCACTCGGTCTTTCACCGGTTCGACTGGGACCCCCAATAAGGTATCAGTGCCCCCTCCTCCTCCTCCTCCTCCTCCTCCTCCTCCTCCTCATCATCATCATAGTCGTCATCAGCATCACCATCCTAATAATAATCATCATCATCATCATCATCATCATCATCATCATCATCATCATCATCATCAAGGGCGGCGTGCACCTCAAGGGCTGCATCACCGGTATGCGGCGACCAGCTTCCAGGCGCCTCTGGTACTCAGCTGCGGGGCTCGGGAGCTGATCGACCGCGGGGGACACGATCCACACTCGCTGTGAGACGTCGCCGATTTCGTGTGCTGGAACGTCACTATTTGCTCCCGTCCCGAACGGGCTACACGTACATGGAAGCCCCTTCGGCCATCAAACCCGAGCTCAAGCACCTTGCCTTATCCATGGACGCCACGCGGGCGCTGGAGATCAAGACTGGTACCCACCGGCGCAACGGAGCTCAATTACGCGACGCCGCTCTTGCTTCTGGCCCCATCGACCGCGCAGAGGCTAACGCCTTCAAGTACACCTACCGGAAGGGCAGCATGGCTCGGCACCGCAATTGGACTCGCGGTTCCACGCCACCTTCACCGACATCACAGCCGGCATCTACTCCGGCGAAGCGCGTCATTTGGGCCGACAGTTTTGACGAGGAGTTCCCCGAGTTCTCCACCGACACCAGCGTCGGCTCCAAGCACCAGGTCGTCTCCACAGATTCGGCCTCCTCTTCCTTGTCATCGGTGTCTTCCCGCCGCTCTACCTCAAGCCTGGGGAAGCACGGCTCGCCCCCATTGCCTGCTACATGCGACGCATGGCTGGACGACGTGGCTATCTCCACGTTCAAGAACTCGCTGCTCTCCACGATCACAGAAAAGGTGTGGGAAGCCGAGCGCTCGCTGGTCACGTGGGTCAATGCAAAGATCCACGTCGCCACGCGCCCCGAGCTGGACAAAACCATCCGTGCGTCCGCGCACCCGCTCGCGGCGAAGATCGACGAGAGCCTCTGCGAGGTCCAGAACACGTTTGTCACGCTCGAGCTGCTCGCTGCGCAGTTCTCCAACATGACCAAGATGCTCGCGGCGCAGCTCTCCAACATGACCAAGATGCTCTTGGACAACAACACGGAGGCGCTGAACACCATCGCCGACAACGCGAACGCGATGCTCGCGACCACCCACTCGTCCCTTGCCGCGGCGCACAAGCTCATCTCCGAGCTGCAGCTTGACATAGCTCGGCTCAAGTCTCGGCGGCAGTCGGACATCGCGAAGTACAACGGCAAGCTCGACGGGATCGGCTCGAGTCTCGCGCAGCGGATCGTCTCCCTGGAGCTCCACCGCGCGACCCTCGAAGACAAGAGCTACGAGATCTCCCTGGGCCCGCCGCAGCCCCTGGGCTGCTACTACGCCGATCTTCGGGTGCACATTCAGTCCGAGAGCTGCCTCGACGAGTTCTCGAAACTGTTGGACACGCGCGACTTCGCATCTACGCCATCGCCATACACGTTCGCGACTATCGCTGGCCAGATGGAGTGGGTTGACGCGGTAGAACCGGCGCTTGCGCCCGCACCTTCGCTTTCATCTTCACGTTCACCAACAACGAGTGCAGCTACATGGAGCACGTCTCCTACAGACGCTCGCCGATCGGCGAGCAGCGGGCGCGGCCGCGGGCGGAGCTGGACAAACTTCTTTGCCCCATTCTCGTCTCTTGTCCGCTTGCCCTCTTCTCGTCTCTGCTAACTGCGGTCGATCATCATCGCCGTCATCATCATCACTATCACCATCATCATCTACGGTCCTCGCACCCGGCCCTCGCGCGCGCGGCCAGTTCTGCTTTTGGGGAGAATGAAGAACAGAGGGGCCAAATGCACGCAGTTATGTTGGGTGGTCGTGCCTGCGGATGCAAGACAGCACTGCGTTCCTCCGCGCGCTGTGGAAACGAGCTGCGGTATCCATGGGCCACTCAGCGAGATCGGTGATGCCGCGCGGCGGGCATCGGCACGGTCCAATTTCATGTTATTGTTCGGCAAGGCACGCAAGTGTGATAAACACGCGGTGGTCGAAAACAATGTTTACAGCCCGGGGGGGGGGGGGGTCGATGCACGAGACGCTGTGGTTGGCCGCTGTGGCACTCCATGGGCGATGTCCAGGCAATCTGCCTTGGAACGGCTTCCGAGCGCTCGTGGGGAGGCCAGCGGTCTTGCACTCTCTCTGGCGGCTGTGAAATAGGAGCCCGTGGTGTATATTCTTTGCGCACCAGCGTGTCATGATTTCGATGTGCCACGCCAGGGTGTCATGGCGCGCGCCCTGACGCTGGCCCTGCGATGGCATAGGACTGGGTGCGCATGCGGTGAGCCAGCCTTCAATGGACCGGCGCTGGATTTGGAGCCCATGGTGCGTCTTTCGAGCACCGGCGTGCCATGATATTGGCGTGCCACGCCAACGCGTCATGGCACCCAACATCAGCGTGATGATCCCCTTGCGGTAGTGCATGATTGGATGCGCATGATGAGGGCAAGTTGTCGTCGTGCATGCATCGCCCTGCCGCGCCAGGATGTCATGGATCTCGCCACCATCATAATGCCCCGGCTTCGACCACGCGCGCCGAAGATGCAGTCGCTTCGTCTGGGGCGCATAAGTTCGCCTACACCTTTTGATTCTTGGCCACGGGAAGATGCCGAGCGGGTCGCGCGCTCGGCGAGGGGGGGCTGCGCTCGCAGCTCAGGCGGCTAAGCGCTGTTCGACCCGCGAAGCGGAGTTTTGTCGCCGCGGAACTGAAGAGGAAACGTCAACGAAGTCGCTCTCGCAGTGGCCCCCCGTCCAGCGGGTGTTCGGCGGGGCCGGGAGGTCTTGCGCAAGCCCTGGGATCGGTGCTGCGCGCGGGCCCCGGGGTGTCGTGACATCGGCGTGTCGCACCAGCGCGCCATGGTTTTCACTGGGATGGCGATGGCCGTGCGATGATACGCGATCGAATGCACGTTCGGAGGGGCAGCCTTCAATGGATCGGTGCTGGATCAGGGCCCCACGCAGCATTTCCCCGGCATGCGCACATGTCGCGACATCGGCGCGCCCTACCAGCTCGCCATGACGCCCGCCATCGCAGTGATATTCTTGCGACAGTCCACGACTGCGCGCGCGTTGAGGGCCAGCTTTCGTCGCGCACGCATCGCTGTGCCACGCCAGGGTGCCGAGGCATTCGGCCTCGCGAGGGCGTTCCTGCTGCGGCGACCCACGCAGCACATGCAATCGCTTCGTCTGGGGCGCACGAGTCGCCAGCGCCCGTTGACGCCGTTCGCCGCAGGCGGGCAAATGCCCAGCGCGCCGCGCGCGCGTTCGCCTAGGGCCCACTTCCTCCTCCTCCTCCCCGTCCTCCTCGTCCACCTCCCTCTGCCCCTCCTCCTCTTCCTCCTCTTCCTCGAGACCCCCTGCCCGATCCTGCGCGCGGGGCCTGGCGCGCGCGGCCCCCCGCGGACCGCGCCTCGCGGCGACTGGCTGACGACGCCCCCTTGGGTCAGCCCGCCGTCGCACTCCCATTCCATGTTAAGATGTGTGCCCCTTCTGTATTTCTCGTGCTCTATGATTACCTTTCCCAAGTGGAACTGCATGGCGGCGGGCGAGGCTCGGCTGCCAGACGCGGGTGAGGAATGTAGATTGGCGGGTGCAATCGCGCTCGCAAGTGCGCTTGAGAGGGCCGCGCCAGACCGGCCAGCTGCGTTCACTACGTTGCGCTACCGCCATGTTATCCGAAGTGGATTTGCGCAAGGGAAGTTCTTAAATCGGTCGCGCGGCATCGCCCATCTCTTGAGAGAGCGAGCTGTTCGAAGGAAACATGTTGTGGATGCTCCGCCTGTACCTGTCTCCCTTCGCGGGCGCGTCGCGGTGCGCCGAGCGCGTTCTGGCCCTTTTGACCCCCTTATTCCCGCGGCGCACATTCCTCCGCGGCCGTCGGGCCAACGCGCCGGCGGGGGGCATGCGGGGGGCGGGCCTCAGGGAGTATATCGTCTCGCAGTGGACGAGATGCGCTCGCGGCTAGATG